TTTTACCGTCGTCTAAGTCTTCTTATGGTCATCGTTTTTAAATGGGATTGTATTTGATGACCACATGCTTTGCCCTGCTTGGTTGATGTCAAATTTAGGTCCCAATCGAAAATTTCAAAATGTTCTTAAAAGAAAGAATTTACTATATCGAATATAACAAACTTGTAATATATTTATCTGTTGAGTTTTGGACATCTTGATTTCAGACTTTCATCTGCAAGGCCGTGGAGATGCGTTTGTTTCTATAGAAAGTGTCAATCCCGATGAATGCCCACAATCGATACTACCTCTATTTCGGTCTTACATGACAATAAAAATTTGAAAATTATTTGTGCAACCAATCCAAAAATGAAATCGTAAATGCCGATTTCCTATTTAGCCACAATGCCGCCCTTTAAAATTTTGAAAGTTTTGTTACTATGGGGCTAAATATTCACACAAAAGAGGGACAAATAAAATTATTGAAAAACAGTATGCTAGTAAAACTGCAGCAAGAGCTCAAGTAGTGTTGATAGTATATTATTTCATACACTCCATATTATTAGATAGTGTAACCTTGTTATATGTCGTATCCTTCATTCATTCCATGCGCGGAGTATAGTTTTTTATTATTTTTTGCAATGTACACCCGGTTGAAATTTTTCGATAAGCAGATTTTATTATCATGACACGTACAAATAGTTGCAAGTTTTTGTAGTGTACTCTGTGTGCAAGTATTGATACTTACATCAGGAATTTTTATAATAAATTTAATGCTCTTTATTTAATGTTTTTGGTCCTGTTGGGTGTTGATTTAACGAGTGAAGTTGGATAATTTCAACTTCGTACATGCCGAGGAAGCGCAATATCAGGGGCCATGCGATCGCTATTTAACTGGGGTTTCATATTTATTACGGGGAGAGGAATATTAATAAGACGGCTTAATTATATGACAAACCTCTCGCCCGTTTACCAGTTAATGTCGGATATGAGGTTTGTTGATCGGTCACAACTTCCAGGCGCATAGACTTGATGGTTTCGAGTCGTAAACGACCAGTGGTTGTGAAAACCAACCTAAACCGTTGTAAGGTTCAGTAATTTTCCTGCACATAATCACGGGATGTGACATGCGTAGGGGAATTATCAGAAGTGGCAGTTTAGTCCTACGCTCTGCACATCACTTAGATATCATATCCAGCGATATAACTTTGGTCCCAAAATGGCGGGTGTGACGTCACACAAGCGCTTATAACGTTACCAATGCATGTCCTCACTTGTGTTGTAGTCACTTTGGTCGATGTCTAATGGGGATGTAGGTCATCGGAATGATATGACATCGTTATACATTGTTTGAATGTCTTGTGCCTTTTACAGAAATCAATTGCTTCTGCGAGTAAAACCCCTCAAATAGCAACTTGAGGCAAATTCATTTCTGTTGCCAAATTTTAATTTCCCAGTTATCATCGTTATACATACACGTGTGCGACTTTTTTAATTTATCGTCGACAAAAATACCAGGTGTGTGTCGCATTTGGGCGATAGGAACGGATTCATTGGCGACTCGAAATCCAAGATATGTGTATTTTATTGGGAGCTCAAAATAAATATAACAAAACGCATTGTTTTGCGTTATAACTTCGTATTTTCAAAAACCAGGTATCGTGCAAAGTAAAATTTGATTTGGATTAATCGCAAAGCCATTTGATTTAATAAGTAAGTGTTTATTTCGATTTTTCAATACAACAAAAACAATACATGACAAAACAAACCAATGTACGGAAAATCAGGAAAGTGGGCAAAATCTAGAAAATATTTAAGACGTGCTGGTGCCCCAAACAGTAAACAACACATTGAAGTAAATTAAAAAAAATAACACGAAAGATAATTCTGGCGTAAATACTTGGGTGTGGATGGGGAGTTTTAACATGAAATGGAATTTCTACTATATCTGTACAAGGAAATAACGAGAATTGTAGAATAAAATTAATTTGATTACGAACGCACTCAACTAATAGTCCACTGGTCGACAAACAACAATAACAAAAACACCACAAAGAAAACAACAACAAACCAAGTAAAATATGACAAGAGCATTCCACGCCCTGGCATTCCAATTTCAGTTTTAATCATATCTCATGCGCTTTGTGTAAGTGTAAGTAGTCTTTTTTTATGGAATCCATCATCAAATATCCGTTACATTTGACGTTTGGCTGTTCATGTTATCTCCAGCTTCGACCAGTTTTCCACGATAAACTCCACGCAGGCCAGAATGATCTGATGGGAACTGGTCCTTATCGTATCGGTGCTGTATCCAACATCATCGTTTTGATTTAGGTGTGTATGTATCTTCTCAGTAGGGTTCATATTCGTCCGGCTTTCCAAGTTTTGTCCAAATATTTCTTACTCCAGTATTCCACCGTCGATATTTCACGTCCGCACCCGACGGCGGTTCGATCAGAATTTTGTGCCCAATAAAACATGCAAATTTCGTTTCTGATGTCCAGTGTTGTTCAATCCGTTTCTATTTTTCTGAGTGAGATGGAATTTCGATGACTACTGTTCGTCAGGCGATATTTTATTTTTGTTCAAATTTTGAACTTTAGTTGTTATTTTCATCGTTTCCCAATATTGCTTGTGGTAGATGGTCGGAATAGATACAATTCTATAATAATTTCTTCATATCCGCAAGCTCATACACGAACTAATTAAGTGTTCTGACAACGTATTTATCGATAGCTCTCGCTAATAATCGTGACATACTGGTAGAGACAATTTTTTCGTCGCATCGTCCCGAAGGCAAATTTATTTTGCATGATTCGATTCAAATTAGGGTTCACGCTATTCATAATGTCAGTGAGATGAGTGCAGCTTCGACAAAATCTGCCAAGATGGTTGAATATTTCCGGATTGCATTCTTATTCTCTTTTGCTGTTGCTATCAATGGAATAATATTATCTGGCTCGGGTTAGTGCTGTCACTAACAATTTTCTTATTTAGTTAGCAATTTTATTTTTTAGTAAGTGTTTTTTGTTCGAATGCAGGGGTAGGCAAGTTTTTTGGACCCGGGGCCACAAATTTCGTTCACCAAGACTGTCGGGCCATGTAAGTGCGACGTAAAAAGTTACGTTTTATGAACAGTATTTACAAACTACAATGTTATTAAAGCATAATGGTAAACGATAAGCTCGTGCCAAAACTAAATTTAAACGCAATCTCAACAAATTTCTTGTGGACAAAGCAGTTATGTTGATAGTTTTTTTTCGGAGCAGTGGTTTTCAAACGGTGGGTCGCGCCCAACAAGAGGCAATTTTGCCTGTTTTTAAAACTTTTCATTTATTTCATTATTTACGTTCCAGCCACTATTTTTTGAATAAAACATACCTTTTTTCTCCCTACTATCTATTAAATGTAGCTCATTATCAGCTAGCTTTTTTTTCGAGGGGGGCGCGATACTTGACAAATTCTATAAAATGGGCGCGGTCCAAAAAGTTTGAGAACCACTGTTAAAGAGCGTCGAAGAATTTCGCCTGTTTGACTGTGTTTGAGGTTTCTTTTCAATCTAAAAATAATATTGATTACCTTTGATAAGTTCCATATTTAGGAATATTTTGGAACTATTTTTTTTTGTTTCAATAAAAAAAGCCACTTCTGCGAACTGGAGATTTTGTAACTCAGGTCTATGCGAGCTAAATTTTTGACTATTAATCTTTTCTTATGTTGAAAAATCACTGTCTGTCTGTCCCATTGGTGTCAGGTTAAGCTACCGAGTAAATATTGAGTATTTAAAATAAGAATTCCAAAACGAAATGAAATTCTATCCCTACCTAACGCCAAGAGCAATGTACTGGCCATATTACAATTATCGTTGGAATCATTTTGTTCATTCGAATGAAACGACCGTATTTCTATATTCAGGAGCTAATTGCAACAAGAAATGCGGGGCTGCAAAGGAAACTTGCTTTTCATTGGATAATAACGTGTGCTATTGCCCAGCTGGATTTAAAGGTGTCAACTGCGATGAACGTAAGTTAAATTTGAAAATATGGTAGATACCTAAATATCTCAGGGCATATACCTTTGGAATTCTGAACAATCACGGCTTTCGAAAACGGGGGCATTGCTTTGTGAAGTTGCAGATTGGAATAATAATGCTTTGCAATTCGAAACGTGTTTTGCAATTTTTTTAATGATGTAAATCAAATTGAGTAAACTGAAAAATAAAGATTATCGTAAAATTATTCTTTTTCATTTAGAATTTGTAAATAATTTCCCAATTAGGTCAATGATGTCATTCATCTAACAATAAAAATAACCGGGGTATATTTTCTAAGCGACACGAAAATCTTAATAATTTCATGAACTTTTACAATTTTGAATTACTATTAAATTTAAACCTGCAATTCTCTAGAAACGTTTTGATCGTCTCTTGAGCTAGCTTTAGAAAGAAACCTAATTAGTTTTTAAAATTATGATTCGCTGCAGAATGCATATCAACCCGTGTATAAAAATCGTACAAACACGGGTATTTAAATCGATCGAAACTCATTTTTTCTTCTAATTACAACTTTCAGCCAACACCGATTACATTGACGAAACATGTGCAGTACCAAAACGAATACCGGAATTTTGCGGTGAAGCCATTGACCTATGTGGAAATTGTGATTCGGGCAGTATATGCTGTTCAAATGGATGCATTTTATCTTGCCTATCTCTTCCTTCACGTAAGCATTGTCCTAACATAACAATGTCAGTCAGTAGTTTATTTTTACGTATGCCGAAAGTAGACATTGTACACACAGACCAAAAAAAAATGCATTTCAGTGAGTTTCATGTGAAGGGAGATCGCGATAAACCAGTGAATGATATCGAGCAGCGTCACCTATGAGGATGTCTAAGATTAAAGTACATGGAGGGGAAAAATCCAATTTAAAATAGTGTGTTACAAGGAAGATCACGAAAGCCAAATCCTCAAGTGCACCCATCCACATCTCACTCGAGTTGTAATGGACTTTCTAGACTGTGGAAATGAGCTTTCATACTCCCTAAACACGGCGTTTCGTTGTGTATCGATGATTAATTGTAGGTGTTAGAAGCGAAGGTGTCAAACACCTAATAAGAATCGTAATAACGTTTTTGCGGAGACTGATAACATGACATAACTATGAAAAGACTCTTTGGGATTAGAAATGATAAAGGGGTGAATGGATGAACTTATCTTAGAGTCTATGACGTAGACGTAAACTTTGACACTCAGCTCACGCTTTTTCGTCCAAATGTATATAGCTTACTTTGCAAACAACGACAATCTATAGTTGATGAGCATAATATCATGGTAATGATTTATTAAATGACATTGTATTTTATTCAACAATTGGTCATGGGACATACAAACTGATCAGTATTTAATTAACTAACAATCGTGAACGTCTCACTAGATGTCAATTTGATAGTTCACATAAGTAACATTTGAATTTACATGTAAAATACTTTTTTTTTGGTCAGGAAACCAAATTTGACTAAACTGTTTCGTTACCTTCAGCATCAATGTCGGCCAAGCCTTGAAGAAGTAAGCGCAGAGGCTTCAGAGTCTATCGTAATGCAACGATCCCCGGCTAATTAACGTTCATAATATTGTGATGTATTGCTTTATACATCGCTTTTTGAACTATCGGATTTTTTATTACACCTATGCCATATTGAATGCCAACGTTGCAGGGTATTTTCTGATAAATTTCGTTTGGCAGAGTTGTTGACTCGCAAAATTCGAAGGAAATAGTCATAAGTGCCCTGGGTAAAATGTAAGTTTTTGGTACCAAATTGCTATTGCACGACTTATTACTATTTGCGAAAGGGAATGGAATCCAATATTGGAAGAAACTAGGGCGATAAGTTTGACGGACTCCATCGAGGCAGTAAACTAGACCAGGGCTATTCAACTATTTTTACCGGATATCCACATACAAAACTTCAAAAATATTTGGGTCCGGTCTTTCCAGAAATTATATTTCGGCACCCCTGAACACGCACTTCCTCAGTCGCCTAATGATTATTAGCCAATCAAGATTATTTATTATGGCGTTATAGTTCAAATCTATGGAAGTGATTTTATTGAAGGAAACTTCAAAAGTGGGGCTAATGATTCAAAATAACGAATTAGACGCGGTCCGAATCGAATACCTGAAAGGTCTGGATTCGGACCGCAGTCCGCCAGTTGAGTAGCACTGAACTAGACCAAGAAAATCCGCGTTTCAACTTTCGATCGAATTCTGAAGATGAATAAATGGAATTGAGTAGTTAATAGGTTCCTATACACCGCTTCTCCATGAATTTTTCAAAGACGAAAATATCTTACTATAATATACTTGTACTCAGTAAACATTGCGTCTCTCTTTCGGAACCTTGTCCAAAAAAATAGCATTTGGTGTGCAAAGTTGAAAAAAATACTGACTGAGTAACTTCAAAATTACAATTGGTGTTCACAGGAAATAATTCATTACTAATAAAAGAAGTCTTGTGAATGTAACGATGGTCGGTAACAAGTAGTACCGACACAATAATCTGATGAAAATGAAATTACATATCCAAATAAACACGACGCAGCTGTCTTCTCCAATCTTTGATAATAACAGGATATGGCGAATGGTGAAAGTGTATAATATTGAAGGTCTATGAATACCTGCTGTTTTCCAACTGTAATTGAAATCATGTCTGATAACATCACATTTAAAATGTTTCATTTTCGAAAATTGTATACTCACCAGTAAATGAAATGGATCTTATAAATATGCCCCCATTAAACCTACCATCAAAACCAACCTACCATCAAAGAGGGCTTTATACGATTTAGCGTGACGGGGACTCCCAAACCTACCTGGGATGAGGTAACCTTGGTATTAGGTAGCCAAGGGAGAGGGTGTATCTTAATATGATCACTTTGGAGTGGGGAATATCTTCATACGATCCAATGTGAGATATATATCGCTACATATTTTTTATCAACCACTCAATTTTTATCGGAATATACGCATTGTCAAACTGTGCCGTTTACGAAATATATCGGTCATGCGTTTCGACTCGGGTGTCGCTGCTCGATAACCAGCATTGATTCCTGCGACTTCCCTTCCCCAGTAAATATGTGTAAATTATCACTTTCCGAAATTTGTGCTTGTGATATTCCTTACTGGTTGGTAAAGTTGACTTAACCTGCAATGCACCGTAATTAAAGTTTCAAATTCACAGACGTGCGATCTGGTGTTTTAATTACTGCTTAATGGCGGTAATTATGGGTAAAAAATAGATCGGAACATTCGAATGACGCGAAGCAAATTTATTTGATCGAGCTAGGAGAAGTCGGTGACATCGCAAACTTTACGTTAAGAGAGTTAATTATAAACGCCCCGAGGAAATGTAACAAGTTCTCACGATGGTCACGAACGACGATATTATGTTTGAAACAGTGTAAATATTTTTTTATTTTTCATGAATCATCTTATCGAAAAATTGTCTTCCAATTGTTTTGCAAAGATAAAAATAAAATCACAATGTTTTACACTGTGGAATATTACTTGGCCAAGTATTGTTGAAGCTAGCGATGTTTTAGACCTGATTTTTTAGAAATGGGCAAAATAGAATCATTTACTAGAATACATAAATTAAATACTGAACAATTTTCTAATGATGTAAAATTCTAATATATAATGTTGCTGCATTTAAACTAAAGGAGATGAAAACTTACTAATATGTTATTTTTATCATTTTTTTTACATCGAACTGCTGTGACAATATTAGGTACTCCTGAAGTATGCGTACCAAGATGGCGGACACCAGAACGTAGTATGTGTATCAGATTAGGGTTAACCAATAATTTTATGTACAAATAATACGGGAGTCACTTAGCTAGTAGTATAGTACCCAAACTCGTAACAGAACTAAAATACGGAAAATTGAAATAAAATTATGGCCTAACCCTAACCTGGTACACATGGCGCTCCCGTAGTATGTGCACCAAGATAACGCACAACCTCATAACTATAACCTGGTACACATACCATGTTCACGTTGTGCGCCATCTTGGGGAACGTACTACGGGAGCACCTTATAATCTACGTTTACGAAGTATGATATTTTTATTTTGTACAATGTTCGTTTTTAAAAAAAATTTTAAATTTAGTTTTTTGAGAAGATTTTCTCCGGACGTTTTTACAGAAGTACTATGTAAGTCATCAAATCACCATTTTCTGTGATACTATTGGGGTATTTTATATTTGGTTTTTCTATTAATTAAGCACAATAACAACTCAGGCCACTTACTACGTCGTTTTATTGGTGTTGTGACCTTTCAGATCATTTTTATTAACATTTAGCAACCTGCACAACAACCACGGATTGTCCGGGAAATAAAATTTGCCACAAAACCACACCACCGCCGCATAGTTGTCTTTGTCCATTTGGATTTACAGGGGATGATTGTATGGAACGTGAGTATTCGAATTATTGTCTGCGTATGTCGATTTTGAGATTGATATGCTCTTGTGCAGTTTCGAGTTACATCGGCGTTAACGAAGCATGACTGGTTTCGGTTTAATTCCTAGTCCGCTCTGTTGAATTTGATGTTTTAAAAGCATGCCAATTTAATTTTACTTTATATATTTCATATTATTACATATATATTGTATATGACCCTTCTTATGAGCAATGGTTCTCAAATGTAGCTTATTGTTAGCTAGTTATTTTTTAGGTTGGGCACGAGACTTATTCTAAAATAGGGGCGCGGCTACGCAGTGTTAGTAAGCATAAATTTCCAATGTTTGCACTCATTGAGGATATCACTGGAAGACGCTATTCAACCATGTACATAAAAAATCCTAATGGAAAAGTCCGGTTTTCAGTAAATTGAATATAGCAAAATGGTGTCGGTGTCGTAAAAGGCAAAATTACCGCTAAAACGATCATAATTCCGCCAAATCAAATCTTTATAAAAATGTCATAATGGAGAGGTCCGGTTTTTAGTGAATCGCCTAAGAATAGAGCAAAATGGTGTTGCGAATTCATGTTTTACTGCATATGCCACAAAATTGCATTTAAAAAATAATGGCTCTCCTAATTTCTCTAGTTTCTGTTGGTAATCTGTTGTTGTTTTAATGGTTTTTGCATTTTAAGTTCTTATATAATTGTTTCTTCTCTATGTTTGCTTCGGTGATTCAGCATCAAGGTGTTTTTTTTTTCAGTCGCTTTTAGTCACTGTTTCCGTTTTTGCTAGTTTTTTTCTTATATCTGATTATTGCTCTACACTGATTCTTGCACAATGAAAATAAATACCTGAAAAAATGTTATTTTTCTAACACTAGGAGAGGTTGGCTACGACGACAGATGTCCTTTTCCGGATAATCCAGCCGATCTTTGCGAACAAGCTGAATTCGAAACATTCGATGAATGTGCCATTGATGTTCCAGGTCTCAATTGTCCGGATGGAAACATATGTTGCTTAGGATCAGATGGATGTTCATTCAAATGTTTTCCAATAGGTCAGTACTATACATAATAATGCCTTCGATCAATACTGTACTTGCTTGTAGTTAGGTTTTTAAACCAATGTGAAGTTAGGGTGGGATTTACATATTTATCAGGAGGGAGAGGAAAGGGTCAGTGCTATAGATACAGATATAGATACAGATACAGATATAGATACAGATGTCCTTTTCCGGATAATCCAGCCGATCTTTGCGAACAAGCTGAATTCGAAACATTCGATGAATGTGCCATTGATGTTCCAGGTCTCAATTGTCCGGATGGAAACATATGTTGCTTAGGATCAGATGGATGTTCATTCAAATGTTTTCCAATAGGTCAGTACTATACATAATAATGCCTTCGATCAATACTGTACTTGCTTGTAGTTAGGTTTTTAAACCAATGTGAAGTTAGGGTGGGATTTACATATTTATCAGGAGGGAGAGGAAAGGGTCAGTGCTATAGATACTACTATTCGTTTTTGTACCCAATAGAAAGTCTTTTCATGTAGTAAATAACCTTAGCCGCTACTTAAGCCGATATGCCTATGGTCCGAATAGTTATAGCCTTGCTGTAAAAGGCATATTGGTATACCTTATTTGATAAGTTTAATTTTTATTACACACAATTCAGCGGTCTATATTATATATTTCTTTCATTTAATATTTCAGATTTTAGCCATAGTTTTGGCAATGGAATAAAAGTAACACTGATAACGAAAGCAATGCATGCAATTAATGGACACGAAATAAATAAAAGTAGTAGCCTTTTATAGCGAAAAATACAAATTTAAACTACTAGTCCAATAGTTTAAATATTTATTATATTTATGTTATATTTATTATAAATATTTAAATATTTAAACTTCGTGCACAATATGCTCATTTAGATATTGTAATGTTAAATTCCATCCTATTCTTCGTCTCGTCTTGATACTAAAAGAGTGCTAAATGGAATCAAATGTTTATATTTATGCAGGCTGTAAAAACGCCGTTATTCTTAAAACCTGCACTGATCAGAGGAAACTCTGCATAGACGACGATTCTACTGACGGCTTCACATGCCAATGTCCACTTGGATACAGTGGATTCATGTGCGCCACACGTAAGCTTTCACATTTAATTGAATTCAAAATCAATTTCTTAGCATTTTGGGCTATTCTTTTCAATCCAGACTGCGTGGTCCACTATCCGTACTGTTCTTTATATTCGAAAAGTCTAGATTTCAAAAATATATATTGATATACTTTAGTAAGGAACAACTTTATATCAAAATGATTAGCAAAAGATAGCAAATATAACTCGAATCTCACTGCAAAACCGCTTTTAGCCGAAAACAAAGATAATTTCAATTATTTGCATATTTGAATAACATCCCGCATAAAAAGTATAAATTTAATTTGAAAAATTATTGCAGAACAGGTAATATTTTCGAATGTAATGAGAGGTTTGGCCTTCAAAAGCGGCGAATTTTTTGAGCGCTATAGTATGTTGTTTGATAAATGTTGGTTTCCCGAGATAAAAGAACATAGCGTTTTTACGATGATTGACGAAGGGGCCTTCCTGATTTTCTAGACTTATAAAATCCTAATAGCTTCTCATTCACCATTAAGGATTTGCCGGAATAGATAAACAATGTCCATTTCCCGAAGTTTCTAAAGATACCTGCGATGAGTTTGAAACCCCGCCTTGTATGAAAGCTACCGATTGTGAAGACGATGAAGTATGCTGTTCGACAGGTTGTGGAACGGCTTGTGTGAAACTTTCAGGTGAGCGATTGATACCAGGTACAAAACAGTTGGCGAAAAGACGAGACTTCAGTTAGTTTAGCCAAATACTTCTTCTTGAAGATACAAGAGTGCCAAGAGTAAAAAAAACTAAGCAAAAATGCGCCGCTAAGCTTCTTTTCTTTTTGGGCGTCTGTTCAACAACGCCCCACGTCTGCAATGTCAGCTCTGCGCCACGAACAAAATTGCTTTCTAAGCAATTCATGCAAATGAATTTTGTCGAGTGCAGAGTTGCATATTGAGAAAACGATTTAATGTCTTTCCTCATCCTATCAATTGCTCTCTCTGCCTCAAAAATGCAGAGAAAAGTTGCGCGTATGGTCAGAATACGACTACCGCATATAAAATTTGGAAATGTTGCTAGCCACTCTGCATTGTTTTATGGGTTTTTGTAGGCTGTGATATCGTGCTTTGAAATGGTGAAACTCGGCGGTCTCGACCCAACTCTGGAAGGGGGGTTTGGTCATTCTGACTAAACTGGATCTGTGTTTTGTATGTATTTCAGTTCAAGTCCTATTTAATGTAATTGTATCCTAACTATTAGTAATAACGTTGTTCTTGCCAGTCGATATCGCGATACATTACAAGCTACTTGGTATAGTTCGATATCAGGAATCTTTCGTACAAAGCTCCCGCCAAAAAAAAAAACACACCCACCAACGCTCAAAATACGGAAATTGAAGTTGTAGCAGGGGAATTAAAAAGCCCCGAAATGGCATTCCTTCGACTTTTATTACGCAGAATTGAACTATCTATGTTTAAATCCATGAAGTAAAAAAACCACTCAATCAAAATCTGCTTTTATTACAGATAAGAAACCACCACAAAAGATTTCAAAACTCACTCTAATTGCACTCCTAATGAGTTTAACAAATCGTCCCAAACAAACTGTACCAAGACCACCAATTGTACAAGTAGGACCGTATGCACAAGCAGCACCACATGAACCATATGTACAAGCAGCACCACATGTACCATATGTACAAGCAGCACCACATGTACCATATGTACAAGCAGCACCAGCCGTGCCAGTGGTGCAAATTGCTCCAGCAGGTACTAATAACATTACTTTTTATATAGAAACTTTTTGTTTGTGTTTTTTGTTATATTCCTCCTTCCTGTATTTTCAGCGTTACCAGGGCTGTTTTCGATAAGTTTTAACAATGAAAATTAGGAAATTTACAAGCATTTTAGTCCCAGTTGTTGCCCTAACTCACCAACTTGATGATTGAATACACACACCCGACCACGATAATTAAGAATTTGACAAAACCGTGCACGCGCGCATTTCGCTGAGTTTTTTCACAAAGATAGACTTACAAATTGGTGGAAATAAGAACACGTTTAGCGAGAGAAATCTATAACAATAGTGAACGCTCTTGATAAACAATTGAAGGAATGGCCCCAGGTTAGGCTGTGGAGTCGTAATTGGCAAATTTTCACAAGAGTCGGCGTTTCAAATGCTAGAGAATCAGATATACTCGGCATTTTTAATTCCCAGATTATCAGTAAAAAAGACATGATATTTCCCTTAAAAGTGACTTCAATACGAAAAAGTAACGAATTTACCTCGACAGCGATTCGGAATTTACTATTCAGATCGAAATACCCAACCTTAGTCAGAAGTAGTTTAGTAAAATGCGCCTATTTTTGTGTAGGAAACAAAGATAACATTTTCGAATTTTTTTCTTTTTTCAATAAGCATCTTCTCGCCTCAACATCTTTTGACAAAAGTTTTTATACTATTTTATAATTTGATATATTTTAGGTGCAGCATGTGGTCCTGGAGAAGCTCTAGTTCATGGATGTCCAGATGTATGTCAGGGTGCTCGCTGCGTGAATTATTCTTATGCAATTTGTAGAGTTCACCCTTGCAATAGGTGCACGGCAAGGTGGTACACCCGCCAGGGACATGATGTCACAGCATCCTGTGGTCAAGTCGTGGGATAAGGATGTATAGAGAAATAGATGAATTCAACTACAAACTAATGGGAATTGACTGAAGTGGCAACAAAATGTAAAATTTGACACTCGAAAGCACTAAAAATTCGAAAAACTCAGCATCTTGATTTAAATAACTCAGAGATTAAAAATAAAACAACGGAATGAAATTTTAGTCAGTTCAGTCTATACAACATCCCTGGTTGTTCATTAATAGTGTCATGTAAATTGATAAAAGTTAGCATGTGTTATATATTGTATATTTTGATAAATGCATTGTTTGGCGAAGTATTCGTTGTCACGAGAGTTGCTTTTTGATGAATTTATTACGCATCTGTTCGTGAATTAACATCGCAGGATGATTTGGCAAATCTTTTGTTCAGCCACAAAATGGCGTACTACGCATGCCTTGACTTGAAACAATCGTTACCAACTTTTTGTTGAATTTCCCTTAGACTATTGCCCGTTTTTATTCCCCTTTTTTATACAAAAAAATAGAACGAGTGTCCCATGAACGTACCACTTTACCCACGACTGGACTTATAATATTAAAGAAGGTTCATCGGTCTGTTAAGATACTATACCCACCGCTATATTTCAATTGATAGGTCTGCTTCTCTTGCGCCTTGTTCTGAGCGGAAACTCAAAAAACAAGGACAATGGTGTGGTACTTTAATTCAACCACCAATTGATGTAAAATAATCTTTAAAAGGGTATTTCTTCTGCAGGACTTCCAAACGAACTTTAGGGATTGTGAGATGTGAGATTTGAGAAAAACATCTACGCCACGTTTTAACAATTAGTAATTATTCAGTTGGGATTAAGGAAACTATCCATTCTGCATTTCTTACACTGACTGGATAATTACTAATTTTGAGTGTTGGCTGGGCTTTGTACGAATCCCATCTTCATAATTGCGATCAATGAAAGGTAAAATGACAGCATTGTTGCTATCCTGCTAGGACGCTATCATTCTGACAAACCACGCTTCAACAATTCTTAAACACGAACAAACATGTTCACAATCTCTCCAAAATAAGACAAGAGAGCTACGCCCAAATATATGGACACGTCTGTTCGCAGTACAGTACGGTTTACCGTACCGTCAGATCACAGTCTACAAGTATATTCACACCAATGACATTAAACAACATGATAGACAACTCTGACGTCACTCCATAAGACTACATGCGAAAGATTGTATTTCATGATACGCTCCAATGCACATATTTCTCGTCGCCTTTCGCGACCGTTTACCGCTCGCTTTTGCTACTCGGCATCCTCTTTAAGTGTAGTACCTGCCGTTTTGCGCCTGTAACAAAATAAAATAATCTCCAAGAAGTTTTTCTGAAGCTGGAATGGCAGACAAGCTGTAAAGAGTAATTCTGGACATCATAGAGGTTTTTTTTTTATCAGAGAAGATTACAAACGCGATAGCGTACAGATTTGTGTGGGACATTTTGCAGATAATGACAAAGTTCAAAGTTAGTAATTTTAATGTTTGCGCTCAAATTTCATTTAAAAAGGGTGTCATACAAAACAGCAAAACTGTTTTTACTACTTTTAACGGTGCTGCGATACAATTCCATAAAACAAAGTTTGCACCTATCGAACTTGCTTTAGTAGGTGAATTTATTAGACATATTACATATTTAGTTAATCGTAGGTAACATTGCTGGTACATAATGCCCCGTAAATAGGTTGGTGTCTAAATTTAGGAATTTAGCTCATAGCCCATTAAAAAATATTATCTTCTATGCAGGAGGTTGCTGGGCTAATTTAACTTGCAGCCTTACCGATCACCTGACGATGCTCATTTAGTTTGGCTCGAACAAGTCTTCTTGAAAGACTTGTGTGAATGGAAACTACCTATATGTTTTGCCTTCCTCCGATTTTAGAAGACAAATTTATTCTGAGGGATTCCGCATAATATTCTCATTGATTATTGGCTGTTTATAATTCCTATTAATTGTGAATTCTAACGAAAAGTTAAAAAAAAAATTCGTATTTTATTGGCACCTTTTTCTTGTCAATACTCTGAGGTAATAAACAAGACAATACATTTATGTCATCTGGAAGCAAAATATGCACACTAATTGAGACACATTAATTATGACACATTGAGATAATACATCATGACAGGAAATACAAGTTAAAGATATGTATGACCATCACATGGTAATTAAAATTAAAAAAAAAATAATAGGGGCTGTGGAGTATGAAAAGTTCAAGACAAAGAAAAGAGCAAAAGTTCATAGCTCATGAACTCTCAATTTTTCCTCCATTGCTTTGTGAAGGCCAATATATTCCGAGTGGCTGAATTGGTTTATCTTTATGATAGCAGCGATTTTGTATTTGATATAGCGAGATTGTTTTCAATTTAATTGAAGTGATATTATTTCCCAAAGCAATGCTTGAATCGTCTAGAATAGATCAGTGGTGTCAAACTCATGGGTTTTCGAGAGCCGCATTGCCTGTTGGAAATTGTAAAAAGTGCCGCAAACAGTTTTCGATAATGTATACTTGAAACATATTTTTAAGATAGTTTTAGTTTGTGACATATATTAGGATGCAACTAAACAGTTGATTAATTTTTATTATTTTCTTCAATTTCAAATGCAATTACATATGAATATTTGCATTCCACTATTATTGCAAGTTACTGTATTTATTACAAAAAATCATAAAATTCTATGTACAACCATCAAAATCATTTTTTCTTTGGATGAGGAAAGAATATTACATACACTAAAAAATGACTTAATCTAAATATATGGACCTAAAATTAACAAAAATACTACAATATAAACTCAATGTTTTTTTTAATTACATTTGTCCTGACGTTTGGCATCTTTTTTGTGTCAACAGCATACTGAGGCCAGGCTGAAATGATTTTATAATACCCACTCTAACTAACGAGGTCACATGATCATGGGTTAATCTGGATCTTTGCGAATGTTTAATTATTTCCAGTATTGCAAAAAAGTTACTTTTATCATTTCATGTATAGATCAGTAAAAAAACAAATGACAGATTTTTTCGACAAGACATTTCGCACCACATTGCATGGCATAGGATTGCTTGAATTATTATTGATATTGATTCTTAGTAACTAAGTCGTTGTATAATTATATTAATATACAAACACATGGAAATTTTCTGTTCGAAGTTGGTCTTCGAATTTGTCATATTGACTGCTGAGCTTATCGTGTTATTTCATTATACTGGCGGAAATATGACAAAAATTTATCAATGTGCTCCAGAGAATTTTGTGAAATGCAGAAATATTGCAACTCCCATTTTCTTCGAAAATGCCACCTTCTTCATGTACTTTGCGTTTAATTTATTTACTCAAGTGTTTTATTCAAGTATTCTTTTGCTAGCTAGATGTGTATTCTTGAATGGGTCAAAATGTGACCAAAAAAAAAATTACTTTTTTTCAAAACTACTTTCAGTAAATTGTTTTCTGTGTGAATATTCAATTTCACTTTAAAAAGTTTGAAAAATCTGTTACATTTAGATAAAAAAAAACTTCCAAAATACTATTACAATTATTGTTAAGCGTTCGAGGGCCGCACTGGAAGTTCTCTGGGGCCGCGAGTTTGACATACCTGGTCTAGATTAAAGTTGTCCAAAATTTATACCAGTATTTTATCATGGATCATGTTTATACCCTTTCCTGAATTCCTTCTATAGTACTACAAAAGTTGATGAACCAATTATAACACAGATGTAGTGATTGACCCGTAATCCTCATTTTTCAAAGCTGTTTTAAGTATGCCTGGCATGTTTTGTGCCTTTTCACAAATAAGACCGCATATGCAATCTTACGCTTTGGCATTTTTAGTTATTTTCCTCAAGCCTTGCAGGATGTAGGGGCCATACACAACTCTACCGGAGGGTCAAATGTCTTCGCATGTCTCCATAGGTTGTTCTTCTATTGCAAACATTTATGGAGTATTCTAATTGTATTTCTTGGAATCACACTGTCACTGATACGTAGCCAGACTTCTGATATCTCCCCTTCTGCTACAGTTGTCCTGTGAATAAATAATATGAAATTGAGGTTAGACGAGTAGTTGAGAGTTTTGCTTTATGTCGGCTTAATTTCTTGATTGATATACTTACTATATTTGCTATTGCCTCATGTGCTACAGGAGTCTCACGATGCTTAGACAGGTTTGTCCACAACTTTCCCATCTGAAGAAAGAGAGGAGATTTATTAATTTTCGTTAAGAATAAATAAAGCAGTCCATATGATTTAGAGTGGAAAAGCTAATAAATCCAATATCTCATGTTTAATGTGAAAAATGTTCTACTGAATTTGGTGTATAAACCAACTACTAAAGGGGTTTAGCCAGAAAATTACAAGCATTCGTGGCTCCAAATACTTGAGAGATCAGACTATACAATATAGACCGGTATGAGTGAAATGTTAGGTGAACTTGTTAACCCTTTGATTCAATACGCAAATAAAAGTGAATGAGCAATAGTATGTTACAGCAATGAGTATATATCCTCACTGATTAAAAATAATCTAAATGGAGGTGCATGAACTATTTGAAACCATAAGGGGTAAGTAAATATGCAATTTCGGCAAATGGGCAACTACGTACCGTACTGAATTAATACTTCGTAGTATTTGACAAAAGCTGGCTTTACCACATGTACTTTACAGTGCTATGCCCGGGTGTTATATATAACAATAGTATTTACCTTACCGTTTTCCGCTTTCTTTTTACCTTTAATTTTCCAAAATATCATTATTATCGACAACAACTGTCAAAGCAGACACGAACACCATTCGTGCTATGCCTTGAAAGCAGCACACATCCGCTCGTTTTCGTCTCGTCAAGTATGTGCATTGGAGCGTGCTATCTTCGGCTAAAAATGCCGAGGTTGCGCATCATGTTGTTTAATGTCATTGATTCACACCAAGCGAAGCAGTACAGTCGGACACAAAATGGCGTATGGACACGTCACAAGGTGTCGCTATTTTTCACAGTATTTTTCACAGATAACAGTCTACAAATATATTCACACCAAGCGAAGCAGTACAGTAGGACACAAAATGGCGTCCGATGTCCGCAGAACGTTCGGTGACGTCATAGCAAACAAAAACAAATCTCACAGAGCTAACAGAAATATTTGAAATAAATAAAAGTAATAGCCTTCTGGAGGAAAATTTCATCTTTAACCACTAAAAATTTCAAAGCAATTGGTCGAGTGATCGAAGAGAAATGCGGTTTTTAAATACTTCCACTAGGTGTCCAAAAAGTGTCAAAGAACAACAAAACGATCGTTATGTCCATTTCGTGTCCGACAATGTAAATTGAATTTTGCCAAGGGACTAAATTACGATATAAACGTACAGGCAAATAGGACAAAATAGGATGAATAACCCAGAAAAAAGTTCCGGTCGGGAAACAATGGCTTTCAATTTGTTCTGTCAACTTGACCGGCATATTGTTACACCAAGTAGTAGCGCGATTCATTGGTAATCCATCCACATACTGACATAATGTAT